CAAGAGTTTCCTGTCGTAGAGATTCTCCAGGGCTGACATCAGCCGGTTGCTGGCACACACCTGGGACACGCCACCCGTGCCATTGGAAAGCAGAGGAACAGAGCACAGTGTCACCTGGCCTGACTGAACACAGGAACAACTGCTCCCTGCTGCCAAGTGAATCCTGACTGCACAGGCAGAGCTTGAAGGCAGAAAGATCATGCCAATCAATCAGCTGCGTTTTAACAAAGCAGCCGGTGTGAGACTCCCGTGAGGTTCTGGGATCACCTATCCCAAGGTCCCTCATTCTGAGGAAATTTCAATAAATTTAAATTACTTAGGTCAAGAAAGACAGGGAAAAGACAGTGCTGAAGAAAGAAACATAATCAGCACACTAACCAGTCCCCTCTTACAAAGTTCTTGTGCAATAACATATTTGAAGGCAGCAAATAATAAACCCCAAGGCAAGCTCAGACAATCTCCTATTACCCTGACAGTGCCATATTTTTCCTGTATTACCCTATTTAGTAGCTGTTGGACAGTGATTAACGCTAATACGTAGCAAGACATATTGAAATGGATGGGCATGGGGGTTTAAGAATTTAAACTGTACATAGTTCTCATTCTTGGCTAATTACTGATTGAAATTAGTTAGAGCTGTAAGAGTCTTACTGAAAATTACCTAAACATTATCTAAAAACTGTTTAACAGGGTTTTTCCCCAGAAGCCTACCCCAAGCCCAGTGTTTCCCAGCAAACCCCCCTCGCTGCCCCCCTGGTTTTGTGACTCGGGTGAAGCACACACCTTCTCGGGGGTGACGTACAGCAGCTTTATGACAGGGTCTTTCTTTGACAGCTGCGTGTATATTTTCGAGGCGTCAGCATCTGTCCTGTCACCAGTCAGGTACGTTGCAGCAATCTGTATTACAAACACATATATCGAGTTTTAATACATGCAAAGCAGAAGCATCAAATGTAGTCCTACCTGTAGTTACAAATCTGTTCCTGAGCACTCAGCCTGTGATCTCCTGCACCCGCGTTTCTTCCCTTTGTGTATCGCTTTCCCAGAGGTGTCTAGCACCTCAGAACCCCCCTCACTCAGGAACTGGTGGTGCTTATTCCTGCTGCAGAGCCAGGCTGCTCCTGTTCAGGTGTGCCAGTACAACTCTCAGGATTCTCAGAATCAGCATCTGCTCTGGAAAACCCAACTCCAACACCCAACACTCAGGAGGAGCAATAAATCCAGCAGTTACACTGCCAAGATATTCAAGCTCATCCAATTTAGTTCCTCCTGGACAACTTTCTGTGCCTTTCACAGTGTCCATCTAATCAATTTATGCAGTTTATATTCAAGAGACACAAGACTTGCTGTAAAATTTCAGATTTCTAATCTAGTTACCTGCGGTTTCACTCAATAAAGCTGCTGGAACTTACATCTAAGGTCTTCAGCTTCTGGACTTGATCAATGATCAGCGACCTCAGCGGAGAGATAACGATCGTGACCCCGGCAGACACACAGGCTGGTAACTGGTAGCACAAGCTTTTCCCACCCCCTGTGAGGATCAGAGAGAACACCACAAGTGTTGGACATCAAGAGGAAAGGGAGGCAGTCTGGAGACCTGTTTCTGACTCCCCATTTTACAGCAGTTGTGAAGCTTGTCCCAGGCCTTGCAGAAGGACCTCCCAGGCTGCAGCGGGGTGCTGTGGGGCACGCACCTGTGGGCATGAGGATGAAACAATCCTCCCCCAGCAGAGCAGCGTTGATGGCCTCCAGCTGGTTTGTCCGGAAAGAGTGCAGTCCAAACTTCTTGTGAAATATATTCATCATTTCTTCAGAATGGGAAAATTTCATACCCCTGAAACGTTCCAGTGCAGGGTTATGAACCACTGGCTCTGGGAGACAAAAAAATGTACTACAGTAAGTTACAGTACCAAGTTTAGGAATTCTCCCTGGTGAGGCCCTGGCACAGATTGCTCAGAGAAGCTGTGGCTGCCTCATCCCTGGAGGTGTCCAAGGCCAGGCTGGACGGGGCTTGGAGCAGCCTGGGAAAGTGGGAGGTGTCCCTGCCCATGGCAGGGCTTTGAGGTCTCTTCTACTCTAAACCCTTCTGTGACTCTGATTTTCACCTCTCCTTGGCCAAAGCTGTTCCTACAGTAACCCCAAATGACACTGTGCCCCAGAGGGATTGGGTTTGCTTCCACAGGTGCCCATTTTGGAACATTTTGCATGAACAGCAAAAACCATTGCACAGCTTTGAATTAACAACTGCAGAATCATTATTTAATTAAAACAAAGAAACATTCTTATTTCCAGTTTTAGCAGCTGCTTCTTTCAGCGGCCTGAAACCTGCCCAGGAAGGGAATAGTCAAGTTTGGCATCACTTGGAGTTAAAAAAACCCAAGATGACTTTGCAAAAAGAAGCTTCCACATAAACAAAAGGCAATGATGTGATCTGCAGCAGTTACTTGGCCTTAGGTTTAAAAAGAAGAAAGTAGGAATTTAAAAAGGGAAAAAGAGTAGCCCTCACGAGTATATTTACCCAGACGGTTCTTTGTTGCCATTGGGGAGCCCGACTTCAGAGCAGCAGGGTTGGATGCCCCAGCAGAGCCTTTGGCTCTGGACATGATCTTGGACAAGAGGGATTTGGTGGGTGGCCCTTCCCTGATGGGCTGGCACAGCGGTGTGGACGCTGCTGCCGAAACAGCCGCCGGCTCCTCCCAGTCCTCATCGAAGTCATCGATGTCGAAGTGATCCAGGTCAAAGTCGGGATCGTTGGCACCCAAACTGCTCCCTGCAGGGCTGGCCGTGGGAGCCGTGCTCTGAGCTTTCAGGGCTGTGCTGCTCAGGGGCTGCTTCCCACTCCTCGTTCCCAGCGTTTCGCCCCAGCTGCTGTCGCGGAACGGCTCAGACTGGAGGCTGAGCCCGAGGGAACCTCCCTCCCTGCCACTTCCCTTGGGAGAAGGCAGCGCCGCAGTTCCTGGGCAGGTGATCTCCTCAACACTTTGCTTTGGAGCACAAGAGGTATCCAAAGTTCGATTTGTTGTGGCAGAAAAGTTGCTGGAATGAACAGAAAGCACCGACGGGAGGTCTGTGGATTTGGGGGAGTTTCTGTCAGAAGCGAAGCTCCGGCTCAGGCAGGAACCTGGAGAAGCACCAGGACAGGCACCAGGGCCCCGCTCCATGGGATCCTTCCAGCTTCTTGGAAAAGTGGTGTTTATGCCATTTTGGTTCAAGCTGACAGAATTAGCCAGCAATTTTCTCCTGGGAGAGACAAGGGATGGAAAACAGAAAAAAAATATATATATTTAGTCACAAGCAATGAATTACCAAGTTCTACAACATCCATTAAACAGTTTTGTCCCTGCTCTTAAACACTAACATATGGTGGTTCCATCATGCTCTGAGTCACTGTGTTTGAAAAATATTTCACACAAATCTAGGGAAAAATAAAAACTACCAGAACAAACTAATGACAAAATTACAACATATTCCCTACAGACATAAAATAAAAGAATTCCTAAAATCAGGGAACAGATCCAGGCAAGGTAGAACATAAAAAGTAAATCTTAGATCCACAAGTTAAAAATAAGTAGAAATACACTTTTACCAAATGATGGGTTTAGGTACTTTCCAAGTACCAATGTCTGACTACAGCAAGAAGGAAATAAATTAGTTGTCCTGAGAACATTCAGAAAAGCCCATAATCCCAGTCCAGGAAAAAAACAAGTAAAAATCCCAAACGCCAGTACTTTGTCTGTGTATTGTGCCATCAGCTGATGCAAGAGGTAAAGCACCAGGCTGTGGTGGCAATAATCCCATTGCAAGATGACAAGCTCAGAGATATTAGGAGAAATCACCATCCCTGCAGTCAGCGAGAGTAAGACTCAGGGACTCCCCTCCACCTCATTCTCCGGTGTGCTGGGGACACCTGCAGGCAGGTTCCTGCTCCACACGGAGCCTACCTGAGGTCCCTGTGCTGGAGCAGGGCTCTGGCACAGGACAGGGCCTGCAGCTCCTGCAGTGGGATGGCATCCACCAGCTCACAGATGGCCTCCATGACCCCGAGCAGCTGCCGGGCCACCGGCACAGCTTCACCTGTCACAGGGAGCAAGTTCAGCAGAGCAATTGCCATTTAGAATAGCTAGCAAGGTGATATCCCTGTCCCCAAGGACAGCACATTTCAGCAAGTCTAAATAATTTACTTTCAATATATTTTTGTTCTATTTGCATAAAGAAACTGTTTCTGTGAGCAGGAACTCACAGAATCTACATATTTTTGCCCTTGTCTTTTATTATCCATCTATACATGTTAATTATCCATCTAGCCATGTCAGTTCTCCCCCTATTGATGTTAATTCTCTATCTGTTACTTTAAAATCTTGGATTACGTAGGGTACACAGGAGAATAATGAGTAGCAAACTACCCCCCCAAATCTGAGGCACGCCGTTCCAAACATTCCATGTACCTGCATCCCCCGCACCAGGATCTCCTCCAGCTCCAGGCTCTGTTGTGGGAACCTCCCCTGGCCTGGCCTGGGAGCTGCCAGCTGAGCACCTTCCAGCAGTGTGAGAGTCTTTGAAAATACTGCTAATCGCAAGAGAAAAAGCCACTAAAAAACACAGGCACGGAGGCATTTCCACAGAACAACAGGATTTAAGATGTGTGCAAAAGATAAATTCCTGAAACCCCAGGGAGAACCCAAGAGCTGAGCAGTCTTACACTCATCCTGGATGCCAACATGGAGAATCTTGCTCTGGTAGTTTTTTTCCCCTCCCACTACAAAAGCAAAAGTAACTCTGCTTTTTCTGAAGGAAAAGCCACCTCAAACATCACATGCAAAGTAAGTATTTAATAAAGCATTAATTGTAGCTGCCAACCATTAACCTGCTAGACAGCAAAGAGACACAAACTCAATCTGCATCTTTCTAACAAGCAGGATTTACAGGTCTTTTTTGACAGGTCTTTTTTGGTACTGCTCAAATCACCCTATGGACAGATGGCTTTACCAGTGAACTCTGGTTTACCTGATACTTTGTACAGAAGGGGAGAAGGGAGGCAGCTCCTCCTCGGGGGAGGGAGGGATGATGTCCAGCTCATCCTCCTCAAGCTCATTGCCTGCCAATGGCCCGACAGCCTCCTCCAATTCTGGAGGGCTGTTTCCAGCCCCTCGTGGCTCCTGGCCCCCAACTCCTTCAGCACCAGCAGCTGCAAGAGAATTAAATTAATACTGTTGGGTAACACTGTAAACTCAGCGTAGTACAAACAAAAATTAACAAACCCTCTTTAAAGTGGAAAAGTGATATAACTAAACCTACAGTCACCTGTTTCCAGCCCTGCACCTTCCTAGGCTGGGAGCGCCCAAAGGGAATCCAGGTACCCAAAGGGAATCCAGGTACCCAAAGGGAATCCAGGGCTGCTTATCAGACACGAGCACACAGCTCCCTCTGATTCCCGGCAAACCCGTCCCTCTGAGCGCAAACACAAACACAATTTTTTCCAGCTCTCCGGTACCTTCAAATAACCCGTTACCTGGGTGAGGCTCTGCCGTGTCCTCATCCAGAGCCAGGCCGGGGGGCGAGTCCTCGAGGCAGATCACGGACCGCTGTGAGAGGGGGCGCGGCTCAGCCTCGGGCGGTGCCTCCGCGCCCGCGGGGCCGCCACAGCCGGGCGGCTCCGGGCCGGCCTTGCCGGGGGCCCGCGGCCCCTTGGGGGGCAGGAAGGGCGGCCGCCAGAACCTCTCGATCCCCGACAGGTCGAAGTCGTCGATGTCATCCCATTCATCGCCGATGGTGACGGCAGGGCCGGGACCGGCCTTCCCGGCGGGAGCGGCGCTGCCGGTGCTGCGGGGGGGCTCAGAGCCACAGGCGGGCGCTTTCCCGGCCGGGGGAGCGGCGGGCGCGGCCAGGGAGGTGTTCACGTCCTTGTCCCTCAGTACCGAGGCGGCCGCGGAGCCCCCGCGCGCCTTCTTGAACGTGAAGCCCCTGAAACGAGACGAGCCCCCGTCAGCGCCCGGCCGCTCCCGCCGGCCCAGCCGCCCCCTCCCCCGGGCCCGGCACTCACGGCGGGCGGTCCCGCGGCGGCCCCGGGGCGCGGAGGGCCGTGAGGGCTCCGCGGGCCGAGTGGAGCCGCAGCTGCTCCCGCAGGTTGTTCTGCGGCAGCGCCGCCATCGCGGGGCCGCCCCGCCGCCAGGGGGCGCTCAGCGCGGAGCCGCGTCCCGCGCCCTTCGCGTTCGGCGCCAAAACGCGGCCCGGGCGCCCATTGGGCGGGCCGACGGGGCGGAAGTGACGCAGGAGGACAGTGGGTGTGGTGAGGACGGGCAGTGCCCCGCAAAATGGCGGCGCCGCCTGAGGGCGGGCCCGGGAGGAGTGGCCCCGGCACCGCCTCAATCGCCGTAAACGCCGCTGTAAACTCCGATCTGGAGCCCCGGCCAGGCTTTAGCGCTCCCCAGGCGCTGGGGGCGCGCAGGAGCCAGACTGGGAGGACGCAGCCCCTCAGACACCCTCCCGGCAACGAGGAGCCCGCACGCAGCTCACAGCACAACGCTCCCGGGACGAGGCAGCTTTATTATTGTCAGTGACAGATTTCAGCGTGAAATAACACAGACGTGCCCCTGCGGACATCCGGCTTCGCTCCCCAGGGCCTGTTCATAATCAGTACCGAAATTCTCACTTTGTTGATTCGTTATGCAGTATCACCCGTTTCTTCTCTATTTGCATCAAAATACCCTATTTTTTATACAAAAAATACTAAAGACGTGCCGTGAAAATCTATAAAATGTACAAATCACAGCACTCATGATTCTTTAGGGGAGAAATCGCCTTCAAAGAAAATTTAAAAATCCCTAAAATTTACACTTGGCGATTGTGAAAAAGCTACCGGAAGGACGGGGGGAGCTTTGTCTGAAGTCAGGTAAACTCTGTGGTTTCCCAGCATCTCCCTTCTGACCCCCCCAGGCAGATGGAAGCACACCCAGGCACACCCGGGCTGGGAGCAGGAGGAGGGAATCTGGCAGGGCACAGCAGCTCGTGTGTCCCTGGCTGAGGACAGGAGGCACAGCTTTCCTGCTGCACAGGGTGTGTGCAAGCTGAGGAACCTGCCTGCAGGGAACGCCTTTCAACTGGCAGGTATTGCACCTTCTTCTCCCTTTCATCACTTCAGCACTCAGAAATTGGAACGCGATCAGCCACTCCTGTCCTGCTTCCCCTGTCCCCAGCCCGTGCTCCCTCCTACACCTGAGGAACAGGGTAAGAGGCACAAGCTGCAAGACCACACATGTTCTTGCCTCGTTCAATAAGGAAATACCTAAAAAGAGAGAGAAATGGGTGTGAGTGAGTGTTCCCTCCTCTGGCAGAGCCAGCACAGCAGGTGAGGGTGGGCAGGCCCTGGCACAGGTTGCCCAGAGAAGCTGTGGCTGCCCCATCCCTTTAAGTGTCCAAGGCCAGGCTGGACAGGGCTTGGAGCAACCTGGGATAGTGGAAGGTGTCCCTGCCCATGGAGGCATCCATGGAACTGGGTCAGCTTTAAGGTTCCTTCCCCCCCCAACCACTTTGGGATTCTGTGAAGACTGCTCTCCCTGTGTGCCAGCCCCTTCCTCGTGCCAACCCAAGGAGCAGATGCGTGTGACAGGGCTGGAACTGCTGGAATGGCAGCTCTGCAGGCACTGCCATTCCCTATCCCCTTACACCGTGAACTACAGTTAGCACCTGACTCTCAAGAACTTCACCTGCAGCTGGAAATACTTGTGGAGCTGGAGTGAGAACTCACTCCTGGCTCAACCTGTTCCTCCCTGGCCGTGTGACCACGGGAGAGGACCCAGGTGAACCAGTGGCTCTGCAGGCACTGCTGAGCCCCCAGGGACCATGGCAGGTCCATCGAGCCAAGAGTCTGCTCTGAGCAGGCACCCCAGGACTGGGTCTGTGAGCTGTGTCACTGCCCAGGCTGGGATGGTTCCCCCTGTGTCTTCCCATCTGCCAAATTTCAGGTGGATAACATAAGGGCAACCTGGCGCTGAGGGCAGGTGGAATCCCAGCACTGTCCCTTCTCCAGGTACAGGGAGGCTGTGGTGGGCCTGGTGACACTGGGACCCCCTTACCCGTCCATGCCCCACCGCGGGCCCCAGGAGTTCTTCACGATCCAGTAGGGAGTCCCGTTCTCCTCCCCATAGCCCACGGCGAGCACGGCGTGGTTCACCTTGTCAGGGGTGTGCTCACAGCGTGGGCTGCAAGCAAACAAAACATGTGTTACACGAAATCCAGCCTGCAACTCACAGGGATTAGCCAGCAGTCTTGACTGCACTCTGCAAACAGAACTGTGGGGTACTCTGAAATTCCAGCTGCGGAGAATAGGAGGGAAGCCAAGGAGAGGAGGCACTGCTCTGTTTTCCCACTCTGAAATTATTACTGCCTATATCTGGAGTCAGGAAATCCATGGACCTTTGATCTGAGCTCCTGGCTCTTGCCCACAATTAACATCAACTCTAATATCTCACTAGGATGAGCTACAATGAAAAGATAAGGCAAAGGAATTTTTCAGTGGAAACCAGCAGCTCTAAGTGCCTCCCAGTAGTGGTTTGTGTGCCCTGAACTTCAGGGGCACTGTTCTATGTTTTGCACAGGAACAGCAAGCTCCACAGTCTAAACACACATTTCCTTGTGTTTCCCCTGAATTTCCAGCTTTTAAACTGCACTTGCTGAAAGCTGCTGCCTGTGGTATGAAGGACAGCACAAGGTACACACTCCCACCTCTGGAGCACCAGCTCAGCTGCAGGGCAGTGTGAGGGCACCATGCCACTCACCTGAAGGCAGCCACGCTTCCCACCTCGGCCCCTCTGAGCTCTGGCACAGGAGGAGGAGCCCCAATCCCATGGAGAACCCACTTTGGTTTGGGTTTACCCTACGAAACCAGATGTGTTCTGCTGCCACAGCTGGGCCGACCCTGCCACCATCCCAGCTCAGACACGGGGATCAGCCCTGTCACAGGTCCCACCAGCCCTGTGCTGGGCTGCAAAGGGTCTCCTGAGCTCCCTGACTCGCTGACCTTCATTCCAGCATACTCTGGTCTCCAGGCTGGACTGCTTCCTAGCAAGCAGCTTGTTCTCTGCTCCTATTCCCCTGGGAAATCAGCATATCAAGGCTCCATTTACTCATTTTTTCTATTTTCTATTTAAGAGGAAGTGTGAGAATGCAGTGCAGTGCTCCTGTATCCGTGAGGAGAAACGGGGATGCACATCATTCCAGACCTACATCCCCCCCTCACCCCCACCTGCCAGGTTCACACACTCACTTGGAATACACTCCTTTCCTGTAGTGCATGAAGTTACCCGTCACCTCAAAGGCGAAGCTCACTGGGTTGTGCTTCCCCACAGCTTCCACCATGCCATCCTCATCGTACTGCAGGAGAGGACCCAGGATCATCCATCAGCTCCTGGCTGTGCTGAGGCCAGGCTGGATCTGGGCCCAGCAGCCAGGGCACAGTGGGATGGATAACCCTGGCTTCCTGCGTGCACACAAGGAATCAAGTGCTGCATTGCAAGACAAGAACAGGACTCTGCCCCAGCCTGGAGCTGCACCCGCTGCGGGAGGCAAAGCAGGGACCCAGTGCCTGTTTCGACTCCAGCACTTCCCTGGTGCCACCTTCAAAAAGGTGAGCAGGAGTGCAGACCAGCTCGCTCTTTCCCAGGAGCACACAGGCTGCAGGTCGCTGGGAGGCCTGACAGGCCTCAGAGCCTCCCAGCATCTTGGCACAGCCTGGGAAGTTTGGAAACACGGCCCTTGGGGCCTCACCTGCGTGATATTGATAACATCTTTGACAAAGGCAACGGCCTTCTCCGGCTGGAACTTGCAGGTGCCGTTCTGTGGGGACAGAGAGGAGCTGTTGGAGCCTGTGCCAGGCCCTGCTCTGCTGCTGCCACAACAGCCTGGGCTGCGCTGGGAATACCTTGGCCCGGTATGGATAACTGTCCTCCCCCATGAGCCCTTTGTTGTACAGGATGTACTCAAAGGCTTGGCTTGGCAGGCCCCTGCAAGACAACACAGCCAGAACGCAGGTCAGTTGGGATGGGAACGATGAATTAGGATGGTAGTGCTGTGGCTTCTGCAGAGCAAAGCCTGCAGTCCTGCACACCATTCCCACCAGCCGAGGGAGAGGCAAGGACAGTGTCTATCCCAGAGCCTCTGAAGGCACGAACTGTCTATTCCTGCAGCATCTCCCTGCCTGAGATTCCAGGCCTAGCCCACCACACTGTCTGGCACGGTCAGACCTCATTCTCCAGGTGCCAAATCCGTAGGGGAGTACACCAGGAGCCTTGCTGGCGTGAGGCTAACCTGGCCCACGCAGCACCAGCCTCACATGCTGAAAGGTGTTTTCCAGTGCCCCTCTGCCCAGCCTGGCTGGGGGAGGACGAGGGACACACATTCCCAGCAATCAGCTGCTCCCTTCCCCAGCCACCTTCCAGGAGCACATCTCAAGAGGGAAGAAAAGAGAGGATGATAAAAATAAAAAGCACCGAGAGTGGCTTTGCTCAGTCCTCTGGGACCAGTTTTTTCACAGAAAACAGAAGTTGTCAGAAAGCTCTTGGCAACGCCAGGAGGAACTTCCCAAAGGGGAAGCTGAAGTTTCTGCAGATTTCTCACAGAGCACGAGACGCATGTGACCCAGGGGCAGAGCAACAGCCAAAACTCACTTTGCTCTCCCAGAGCCCCTCAAAGCCCTGTTTGTGGCTGCTGTGTCAGGAGACTTGGGAAAAACACATCTCAGAACAAAACTAAGAAAAGAGGAACAACAGAGGCTGGGAAACGCTGGAGTTTTAGTGAAACATCCAGACCTCTAGGGAGGGCTAAATTAAATAGGCAACCAAACCCAAAACTGTTTCCCCTGACATGTCGCAGCCAAGGGAAGACAAAAACCATTCCAAGATCTGGAAGGAAGATCTGGAGGAAGGCTGTCAATCACAGAACTCTAATTTCTGTTCTTCATGACCTTCTCTGACTTACCCACTGCAGCCATGGTTGTTAAAGGCCTGGGCGCAATCAACCAACTGCTGCTCCGCCTAGAGAGAAGGGTTTGGGGTCAGTGACTGTCCTGCACCTGCGCTCGGAACAAAACGCAACCACGCAGCAGGAACCGACGAGCGCTGGTTCATCTGTGCACCCGGCTGTGCCACCAACCA